ATTCTATATATGGAAGTAAAAAAAGTACCTAGTTATATGTATCTTTAATCAAAGAATAAATCTGGGTGGTCAAAAAATTTCGGGTTTTAAGTAAAATAATTTCATCTTCTATGAAAAACTATTTCGACTTTTTTCCCCAAAATTGCAATTTCGGGACCTCAAAATAATTTTGCGTGCAAGTATAGTTTTAGTATTATTTTATCCCATTGTCTTTGTAAATTGTAGAAGGTTTATACGGATAACAACATATTAATACTAATAAACTTTGAATCAATATGATATCTAATAAAATTATAACAATAATATAATTACGCTCAGTGAATATAAATACTAACCTTAATTGTTGCGATAAATTTTGAAAGATATTGTTAACAATGTAATTTTGGTACAATAAACTTTAAAGGATATTATTAACAGTACAATATCAATTAAAATTGTTGCAATAAACTTCTGAAAGATATCGTTGACAGTGTAATGTCAATTAAAATTGCTGTGATAAACTTCGAAGAATATTGTTGACAGTGCAATGTTAATTAAAATTACTGTGATAAACTTCAAAAGACATTATGAACAATACAATATCAATTAAAATTATTGTGATAAATTTTGAAAGATATCATTGACAGTGCAATGTCAATTGAAAATCGTAGTGATATAAATACAAGTGATGACCATTGAAATGATATATTATGAATATCTAATATAAACGAAGGTTGTCATTATGAAATCACTATAAAAATGATAATATTTGCAAAATTTCGCACATGAAGATATCAAAATCAATAACCTTCGAAGGTTATCAATACGAATTTACTATGAAAATATCAAAATTGATAATCTTCGAAGGTTATTGATATAAATTTATTACAAAAATGATAATATTTACAAAATTTTATCATGTGAAAATATAAAATCGATAATCTTTGAAGGTTAGCGAAGACCTTCAAAGGATAACATATTGAAAAACAGCGAAATACTTATGTTAACGTTAACTTTCGAAGGTTTTCACTAAAAAAAATTTTCTGATGACTAAGTTCAAATAGTAATGAGAAAGATGGTGATAATAAATTCTTTGATACAGTTAATCTTAATTGAACTTCTTGTAATTGTCTCTAGTAGAGTTTTTGAGCTACCTGAGCTTGAACTTGGTTTAATTTCTTCTCTAAAAGTTGAAATCAGTTGAGGGCTGATAATAAGATTTGAAATCTTGAGGATTAGGGTCTCTGTTAAATTCAGCTTCTTGTAAATATCATTTGTAACAGTTTCTATATAGTTATAATTTAGTTTCAGCAAACAGTCGATCAGACTCAGAGTTTTCAGAAGGTAAGTCTTCATCTAGGGTCTCAGAATTAGGTTGGTTATTTTCTGGGTTATTATTATTACTACCAAAGTTAATGAAATTACTAAACATATATTAACAATATATCATTTCACAATTTACTGTGCATGAAAAAATATTATCATGTGATGGAATGGCAAATTAATATATTAAGATTTGAGTTTTTATTTAGCACAAGGTTTGAATTAAGTTATAACAATAGCAAGATAACAAGAGAGTTGAGTTGGATAAAGGTTTTAATGTCTGCTGCTACCAAGTGTAACGAATCTACTAATTCGTTAATTTATAAATGAGAAAATAAATAACGACAACTATTTATTACACAGAAATAATATCAGCAAATATTATTCCAACAAAAATATAGGTTATAATTAAATTAATTAACAAGAACTTGCTTACTTCTTTATTTCCTTATGTCTTTATATAATAATAAAAATATATAGTTATAAACATAAATAAATATTATTACATATCTTAGGTTCATAGAACCTTTCCGGAATAGGCAACATAATAAATATAATATAAATATAAAAAGAATAAAAGATACATATGAATTAATTAATAAGAATATAGATAGAAATAATAAATATAATTTACATGTACACAATATACCTGCCACCCAAATTCAAAATCCAAATGCCAAAATCCCAAATGCCAAAATCCCAAATCCCAAATCCCAAATTATGATTAGTATTTTTTGCCGAAATCCCAAATCCCAA